AAAAATGAAAGTCACCCACCTCAACTTTTGACACGTCATTGGAGACAGATTGTCTTTTACTTGATCTGTTTCCTGCTTGTATACTTAGGTCAAAGTGGAGCAGAAGCATTAAATCACAGTCCATTATACTGCACAAGCTGGTACAGTAGTGTAGTTAGAACATTTGTTCTAATAAATGTGTTTGCAATTTTGGATGAACATCAATCAACTGAGTTTGTTTATGCTTTGAGTGAATCTTTCACTACATGAACGTTTCACTTGACAAAGTTAAACAATGCTTTGTATAAATTACTAATGACACAATGGAAATTAGTCCAAATGAGTCAGTGACATTATTTATACATAATCTACTGAGTTTTCAACAAAAAAACACAAAAATAAGAGTAATATTTGTAGACTTGTGCTACATATGTATCAAATTAAGAAAGAAGTCATAAAAGCAAATTCTCACTACTAAAACTTCAACATGGTTCTGTAGGATTGATGGTGGTATGCACTGTAGTCAGCTTTGGTGTGTTTTTAAACACAAGCAAATCTAACAGAAATTTATGTATTTTAATCATGTTCCGAGTACAAAAGTCTGTTTTTCCCACAGAATAACTTAGTGCTTCATTGCACAATAGACAACAAATAAATAAATAAATAAATAAATAAATAAATAAATAAATAAATAATACAAGGTGTGAATAAGGCATATTTTGTTATTACGACTAAAACTGCCCAACAATTTATCACATTTTCTGCTACCTTTATATAATAAACCAGTTAATGGAGCAACAGAATTTTTATTTGCATAATGTTTCCAAAGTTGTCTTTTTAAAATAATTGTTTTGTCACATTAATTTAATTTAAAAATACATTCAAAAGTTTGTTTGGCAGAATTAACATTCTTATTAGCAACTAACTAACAGTGTTTGTACAACATTTGTGGATAATGAGATACTCTTGAAGACATGAAGCAGCCATCAATGACCAGTAACACATTAAAATTTCCGGAACAATATCACTGTTTTTGTCATAAATAAATAAATAAATAAATAAATAAATAAATAAATAAATAAATAAATAGATAGATAGATAGATAGATAGATAGATAGAT